GAGGAATTCTTTCTAATTACGCGAGAAGTTTACCTAAGAGCTTGTATTTGATGTGTTGAGCGGCCACTGTGAATGCAGGAGATAGAAACTAAGATAACGAAGACGATTTTCGGAGAAGTAAAGGTTGCTTCACTTCACATTTAAAAGAAATATTCAACCGATATGAAATCTTGCGACAGCGAAAAAAGAAGAACTCAAGTGAAGGATAATCTACCTGAAGTGGAAGAAGACTTTGAAACTTCAAGGAAAATAATATGATATAGCCAGAAGTCATGTGTAGGATTTTTAAGATGAGCTCGGGAGGCTGTCTTTGACGGCTGTTTAATGATTTTCTTAGCAGTAAACGTCTGTAAACATCAGATCGTAGGTGCTCGCGCGAGCACACGCAATTGTCAGCGGTAGCTAAAACAGATCATGAGCAAATGTCGATCTTATAGAATCCAGATTTTTAAATGCGCGAGAACGCGCGTGGAAATTGCTAAACTCACGAAAGCTATTGCATGAAAACAAGTCCGGTGACCCCTTCTTTTTATTGTTCCAATATGATAATAACGTCGAAAGGAATCATCAGAAAAAAAACTAGAAAATTCTACGGAAGGAAATTTGCGATGTGTGAAAATTGCCCTTTTTGTAGATTTTCTGAAATTCCGCTCCGTAGAATTTTTTAAAAATCTTTGTGCATTTTCCTTTTCAAGTGCCAAAAGCAATCACTGAAAAAAATCAGGGGGTCACCGGGTTAGTTTTCAAATTATTTAAGCCACAAGCTAAAAAATGCGTCTGAATGAGCCTATGAAAGCGTTGCCATGGAAACTGCTGGTGACGAAATGACACTTATTTTTGGATAACCAATGATTATGTAATTCAACCCCGTAAAAGTGTTCAACTGGCCTTGGTCAGTCTTTCTGTTGTATTCTTTCAAAGTTACAAACCATCAAAAAGATGAAAACTGGTACGAGCCACCGTAATGTATCTTAAGGTCATACTTTTATACCAGCACTGATTGCAGAAATGATGTTACAATTTATCCAGATACTCTTATCTGACCCAAATGTATTCCGTTGGCCAACTCTTCTTCCGAAAATAACACAGGTTTGAATTAGTTTAAGCTTGCCGTGGCGTCCACCAGGCTTACTTTCAGATCTTCGGAAAACCTGATATGGGTTTTAAGTAAAGTAAGAGCGACTGATTTTTTTTTTCACCGATTTCGCCGCGGAATCTTCATTCCGAATTAAACTTTAAATTAGCGAGTAAAACAAGTTCGATTTTATTTTGAATTGATCTTAGTCGCTTCAAATGAGTCAAGTAAGCGTTCTTACAACCTGCAACTCCAGTATAGTAAGTACGGTCTATAGAGGAATGAGCAAATCTAGAAACCCATCGTTTTGTCAACAAGGCATGTTTTTCGGTTAATTAGCTCTTTTATTACCATTCCTTCAAGGATCTGCAACGTTCTGAATCACCCCTTGTCTTGTGATAGTTGTGTATGTGCTGCGTTGCAACGATAGTACACAAATTTTCAGAATGATGTTAATGTTTTCTTACTTCATCGATTTACAAAGTGCATAAAAATCCTATTCTTGTCTACTTGGATACTTTTGATTTAAATCAAGGCTGGGATGATTTTGGAAACCAAAAGATTAATTTTTTACAGCACCTGACAATCAAATTCGTCAAATCTGACTGGTATTTGGTTGGCTCGAGTGCGGTTCCTATTCGTGCTTCGCCTGCTAAGGGAGAGGTAAAATCAACCGTGAATCTATCGGAGGAAGCTTGAGCATGAAGACCGGCGAAGTTGATGGCCCTAACGATGACGAAGTACTGACCGCCACTTTCAAGGTCTAATCCTACATTTCACAATAAATAGATAAATAAATGAATAAATAAATAAATAAATAGATATTTAACAGAAATCGATCACACACTTAAAATTTGACTTAAAAGATGGTTACGAAGATGTGGTTTTTTCATGTAAGGGGGACTCGTTATAATTAGTGTATTGGAGTCTAATACAAGACAAGAATCATACAAGGAAATTTTATTTCCAATGATTCCTTGAAAATTCTCTTTACATACGGGTTTCGTCACCAAGATGTCTTTAAAGGGTCCTTACGAAATAAACTCAATATGTTCATAATTTGAAGAGCCTCGAAATGATGCAAACGAAGGCACCCATGGTGAACAAACAATAAACCACCAATTTTCATGGCCATGTAAGAATAATTGCAGACCTATTTGCAATTGATTTGGACTTTGGACAAAAGCTTGCTCTGATAAGCCGCGTCATATTACTGTAAAATTTGTCCACCGAGGCTCACCTAAACAAACGTAAATATCTGAGTATGTATATCGTTTTAGCTTACCCGTTATTGAAACATTTGTAGCCTTCCCCACACCAGTGAAAGATTGTGGGCAGAATGACACGTTCCGTGCGTCACACAAAGCTATTTCATAAGAATCGATACCAGACTCCAAGTCTTCAAAGTTAATCCAATGTGCATGAATATCTTGCTCGCCATTTACATATCTGCTGTCCCTGCCCTCTCCATAGATCACAATCCCGGATGTTGGCGGAGTCTCCTCAACTGTTACTCCATCTGACGTGTATGTGGTTTGAACGCCTGCCCCGTTTACTGCGTTTACTGTGACATAGTATCGCTCACCGTTCTTTAGGGGTTTGTTGAGAACCTTACGTGTGGACGTACTCGATGGGGTAAGTTCGGTTTTTTGAACGAGATTGCATGAGCCTGGTGACAAGCCAGCACACCAACTGAGACTTATGAGGTCACTTTCGAGGTCTTCGAATTCATTCCAGTGAGCTGTTAGGAACGTCCTTCTTTTTTGAAAGTCAATGTCTTCATCTTCTTTTTCTCCATCTAAAATTTGTCCTTCAGATGTGGGACCTTTCAAAACAAAACCGTTTCGCTTTAGTGACAACAACGATAACAATAAGACGTCTTTAGATCTGACCAAACTGGTCACCGTGGCGATAAGAAAAATTATGGAGGTCCAATTTCTAGAAGAAGATGTCATTTTAGCGACCTGCATTTGGTGGATTTCAAGAAAGCCTATTTTATCATGAAAATGAGGTAGAAATTTTATTAATGCCGCCTTTGATTAACTTTATGCCTCCTTTTAAAAGGAAATTTCTTATAACCTGATTGACTTTGAGATGTCGAGAAGACCTCCAAATACGCGAAAAGAAATACAGGCACAGAAAACGTTAGAAAGAAAAACATATTACTTAAAGTTCATTCTGCTTGTGAAAATTGATTGTGATCGATAAATTTCGTCATTATATCCGGAAAATAGAAGATGAGAATTTATATATTTACCTGTCATGTCAACAGTAACTCCACTGGACGACACAAAGTCGCTGACAAGGCCAGCTATGTTCTTGGCCTTGATAGAGACAAAATACGTTTCTCCTTGAGCAAGTCCCTGGTCTTGCAAAATGTAGGTAGTAGCGTTTCCTAGGTCAGTAAGGCTCGTTATATTACATTCCCCAGGCTTTGTGCCAACACAAACAAAGTATTTCTCTACCTCACTTTCCATGTCTGAGAATCCACTCCACTTTACAGATATTTCCGAGTTGGTGAACACCTCTTGGGATTCGCCCACCGGTGGATTCTCGATGTGCATGATGTCACCCACTAATGGGGGAGTCGAGTCTACCACGAAGCCATCTGATGACAATTCGCTCGCTCTGCCAACTGTGTTCGTTGAACGAATCGTTGTTACATACTTGGCCCCCTCTTGTAACTCTAAATCGGCAAAGCAAATTTCTGTGCGGTTTTCAACATCCATATTATTTAGCAAACAGTTGTTTAAGTCGATGGCGGAACAAATGGAGACTTCACTTTTTAAAACAGGACTTTTAGCATCCTCTGTTTCCCATCTGACACAATAAGCGTCTATCGCGCTGATGTAATCTTTGTCGACAAAAGGAGGTCCTCCCTGTAGGTCAACCACCTTTAAGGGTGCAGAAAGATATTTCAATGAAAATTTTAAAATTTAATGAAACGAGCGGACTTTTTTCTAAATTATCTAATGCATCCGAAGGCTAGGAGTTCTACACTGGTGAACTAAATGGAGGACAACTAGGGTACAATTAAAGAAAAACTCCTTGGATTAATGCAATACCAAAATAAGAAACTCTGTTACATGAAAAGCATTAACTCAAAGAAACAGTTTCTCTTGTTTTCTTCGAAAATTCTCTATCCGGAGAAAGAGAAAAAAGCCTATAAGTATAAATCGAAGTGGGAGACGAGGAGGCCTGATATATTAATTGACTAATACATTACGAATGTAGATGCACTACTTCGAGAAAAAGATAAGTTTTCGTTTTTCAATCTTTCCATGAAAGACCTATATGCTAATGAAAAAGCTATCTGATGTTGTATGTTACCTTTGAGATGACAGGTGGAGTACCGTCCACTTCAAAACCGTTTGAAGTTACCCTTGTAACTGCTCCCGCGCCGTTGTAAGCGCCAACTGTTATAAACACGCCAATTTCGGTCCCCAAGCATGGGTAAATCTGCTGACCAACGCTTGTGCTGTCACCCACATCCGTTACAGGAATGATATCACAGCTTCCCTTTCTTGTTCCAGCACACCATATTTATCTGGTTATCTTAGACTCCAAATCCTGGAACTCGTCCCAGTTGGCATAAATGAACTCACCGCCCGCTTGGAAATCAATGTCCTCAAGTGTTTGTCCATCTCTTATTTCGCCGGCAACAGGGGGGGTAGTATCGACTTCAACACCATTAGAAGCTGCGACGACGCTGTAGCCAGCTTCATTCGTTGCTCTTACAGTGACAAAGTACTTTCCTGTGTGATTCAAACTTAAACCTGTGATTACTCCTTTGCGGGAAATTCCAACACTGACAAAGGCACTCACATCGCATTTCTCTTGTGCTGTTCCCACACACATTTCATACTCGACTATTCTGCTGTTGGGATCGGTAAACGGCGACCAGGTAGCAGAGACATCACTGTCTGATATCTGCAGTGCTGCGTCGTTTCCCCCGCTCGAGCCATCGTATACAGTACCTGCAATCGGTGCCGTGATTTCGAATATGAACTGATTAGACACAGCTTCACTGTACAATCCAACTTTGTTGTGAGCTCGGAGCACGACAACATAGGAAACTCCAGGTTTGATGTCAAGGGCAGAATTCTTTATGCTAGTTTTAAGTCCAACATCAACAAACGGAATGATGCAGTCTTTTGTAGTGCCCGCGTGACATAAAGCCCACTCGAAATGACTTAATCCACTATCCACATCAATAAATCCACTCCATTCAGCCGTTATTGGGTCATCTTTCCGCAGATACTTAGTTTTCACTGTGTTTCCAACTATGACGGCACCGACAGTTGGCTTGGTACCATCAATAAGCAGCGGTTTGGAGATGGCGGTGGTTACCATTCCTGCGCAATTTGTAGCCCGTAGTCTAATAAATGCTACAGTTCCTGGTGCAAGTGGCCGAGGAAGAGGGTGCTCAATCGACGTTATACTTTTATCTACAACTGACCACGAGACTATATCACACGATTCCGCTTTTGAGCTAGCACACCACTCAACAGAACAAATGCCACTCTCCTCATCGGAAGGTGCTTCCCAGGAAAACGATAAGAAAAGATTGCCATGTTGCTTAATATCGCACAAAGAATCATCATGATCACTACACAAATTAACAGATGAGGAGACAACTTAAACGTCCGCTACGTTTGGTGGACTGGCGTCCAGTGTTACACCATCAGAGTAGGCCGTTTGTTTTAAACCAGCACCATTTAAAGCTTCCACTGTAAAGAAGTACCGCTGGCCATCCTTTAGGATCATGGAAAGGTGCACACTTGTTTGGAGATTCGAAGACGTCAGGCTGTGCAAGTCACAGACGCCTACGTGAAATCAAAATCATATATATCACATAAGTCAAGCTGATGGTGCAAGGGCTCATAAAAGAGGGGTTCTTATTTGCCATCGTTTTATTATAGCAAACGGATTAATTGTTCACGAAAACATCGATCATAAAAAGGTTTAAGAAATTCTTCACATCGAAAGATTTGGTAGCTAAAAAGCCTCGTGCGATATATACAAAAAATACTCCTGAATATAAATTGATGATTACCCCTTGTGGTTGAAGTCGTCGGCGTAAATAAAGATTCATACAAAATGCCGGAATAAAAAGAAACGGGGTTCCTTTCATTTCCATAATCATTCGGGAATGACAGATTTCGCGGATCATTAAATGCACTTATTTCGGAGAGATCCCTTAAGGTATACACTAGTTTTAGGAATATAAAAAGACAGTTGCTTACCCTGCATCGTTCCAACACACCACTTGTATTCAATAACACTGCTCTCAGCATCTTGAAATCCCTCCCAGTGAGCAGACAGCGTCTCCTTCTCGTTTTGATAATCTGTATCGAGCAATTCTTGTCTATCCGTGGAGGTCAGGTTCCCATCCATAACAACACCAGATTCTGGTGGTGTCCAGTCCACAACTAATTGTTGTGAAGTCAGGGTGGTTTTCAGGCCAAGCATGTTGACTCCAATTACAGTTAAGTGAAAGACCATTCCTTGGTAGAGGGTAAAATTAAGTAGGTCCAAGTCGATGGAACGAGTAAGACTGTGTACACGCTGAAACCCAAGCAAATCGTCCTGGAATTGGAAACTACCAACGCCCACAAGAAAATGGCTTATACTACTTTCAAGATCGTCCATGTACCACGTGGCGACAGGTGCAGAGGGTGTGTTTACGTACAAAGTTCCTTTTCCGGTTGTGGGAGAGATTTGGAGTGATTTTCCGATTGGGGGCGTTCGATCAACGATAACACCATCCGAAGAAGCACTGACACGTTCTCCTCTGCTATTCTCAGCTCTCACTGTGACGTAGTATTTTTTGCCGTGCTCGAGTGTCAGATTGTGAAAGCGGTTTGTAGACGTTTTAAGATCATACACCTCGATGAACGGCCACTTACATAAGTCAGATTTGGAAAGGTCGGGTGGTTGATCCCTTATACACCAGTCGTACCTGTGGATGCCAAATACAGGATCCTTGAAGCCACTCCAGTGCGTCCAGATTACCTTATCGTCCAGTTGGAAGTCAACATCCTTCGCACCAATCACTGGGCCATCGATCACTAACCCAGCAGTAAACTTACCGAGTATGATAAACAATCCAGAGGAGCACTCAGTTCTTTGAAGTCCAGCGCCATTCCTGGCTCGAATCCAACCGAAATAAGTTCTATTTCCTACAAGAGTTTGATTATTTATCACCACTCCGCCCACTGAGTCGTCTGCATTGACCTCAGTGTACAAATCACCGCTATTTGATTTCAGCGCTAGAAGATCTTCACCAACGGCCCAGCTAGTCTGTCTAATACCACTTTCAGGATCTGTGAATCCTGTCCAAGTGACCATTATGAATGATGCTGGTACCTCATTTGTTTCCTGATTAAAGTCACTTGGAAAACCATACTGAGCAATCACAACACCAGGGTTCGGCGCAGTTGGGTCGACTACAACGCCACGCGATACTGACGTACTATGTAGACCGGCTTTATTTAAAACAAAGAGACTTAAAAAGTACGTCCGACCGAGTAACAAAGGAATGTCAGAAATCGAAATACTTGTCTGGAAACTTGATAGTATGGTAAGGTTTATGCCGTCATTATACTCTGGATTAGTTCCCAGGCCCCAGGCGACAGACTCTATTCCACTTTGCTCATCCTTTACAGTCCATGAAGCCTCTAAAGAATTTTTGTTTGGGTCGTATGCTAATTGTAAGTTATTCACTCTTGGTGGGGAGCTATCAATCATAACACCATCCGTCCAATTTACTGAAGACAGGCCAACAGCATTAATAACCTCGATTCCGACAGCGTAAATTTCTCCTTCTTCGTACTTAGATGCTATTTGCCCTCCGCCTGTAATAATTGCAGACCCTGTAGAGTTTAGGGGTGTCCTTACAGCATGAAAAGGAATAATGTTTTCCTCTGTACGCAAGTTTTTAACTGAGAAACGATAATGAAATATCGGAGATTCTTTATCGACGCACACCCACGAAAGGCGAAGTTTGCTTGAACTCGAAGCATATTGCAAGTCCTGTCGGGCATCATCTCTACCATCCCATACCTGCAGGCATACTGGAGGTGAGTTATCTACGATAACTCCTTCTGATGTCACAGTGGTTTCGAACCCAACACCGTTCACAGCTGTCACGTTAACGAAATATCTTCCTCCACTTTCAAGTTCTTTATCCAATATCAAATTCGCGGTTGTAACACTGCTGTTGAAACTTAAAAAACCTTAAATGGCCTTGGCTGAGCCCAAATAAATTCTTATCCAGACTATCACTTTATATTCTTTGACACCACTCTCTGCGTCAACAAATTTGAATTTTACTGTCAAGTTTCTTAATGAGACCTGGTATTTTCCATCGTATATGTAGATTAAATCTGGTTGAGTGTCATCGAAGACAATGCCGTTTGAAACGGCAGTTGCTTTAAGACCCACATTGTTTGTGCACTTTACTGTTGCAAAGTAGCGATATCCCAGTTGAAGATGGCGTTCTACTTTGAACGATGTTTTATAAATCGTCATACTTGTAAACTTCATGACATCGACTTCTCCAGGCTGTGAGCCGAAAGCAATCTGTATAGATGCTAAGGATGTTTCTGGATCATTACAGGTCCATGTGGCAGCCAAAGAACCTCCAGTGGTTGAACTAAGGTCTTCATTTAGACGGTCACCATCGCTAAGAGGCTTTGAGAAAACTGGAGGAGTGAAATCTACCAAAACTCCCTTGGAGGAAACCAAAGCGCTAGGCATGCCAAGTAAATTGAATGCAATAACTGTAGCATAATAACGCATGCCACTCGTCAGCTGAGCAACTTGTAATCTAGAGCTTGAAGCTGTGTTTATAAGCCCTACATCTATGAACGGTTGGGCATCTTGGGCTCCGGGAGACGTGCCAAATGCCAGATGATATGTTAATATTTTTGTTTCATGTTCAGTAAAGTTAAACCATGAAGCTTGAAGAAATGAGCTCTCGACTTGCGCGTCAATTTCCTTCCCAGGTTTTCCATCGGTCACAGAGCCTGGTAGGGGAGGGGTACCATCCACGATCACTCCATTTGAATGGAAAACCGCTTGATTCCCGGCCCTGTCTATCATCTTGAGGCATGCGTAGTATTTTTGACCAGAAGTTAAATTCAGCCCGAATAACAGATAATAATTTCTATTAGATGGAACAATTTCTTCCTTTTGAACATCGCAGCTGACTGAGTCTGGCTTGCTCGATAAACCTAATAGTACTGTTTTGACACCAGAGAAATCAGTAAAGCCATACCAATGGGCGCGGAATAGCGTTGAGTAGCTTTGATACTGGGCATCTGCTGAACCCCATCCGTCTAAGACGATTCCACTCCTTGGGGTGTCGTGGTCAGAGAGCAGAGGGGGCGATGATTTGATCCTAAACAGCCCAGCGCTGTTGATTGCCCAAATGGTAATGAAATAGCGTCGGTTGTTTTCCACGGATAATACGTTTGACGCTGTCCAGTTGGCTCGCAGCGAAGACACTGGTGTACTTAATGAAATCGACTCAAATTTCAGGACATCATCAGCCCCAGGATAACTTCCCACTCCCACTTTGTACGTTTTGACTTGTGATAAATCATCTTCAATTTCAACGTAGGCTCTGAAAGTAATACGCAACTTGTTGACAGCTGACAGTGTTTCGCCGAAATGTCCGTGCTGAACATTCGTAACTAGAGGGGGACTACTATCAACAATGAACGTGTTTGACAAACCACGAGCAACAACACCTGCTTTATCTTTCGCCTCGATTACTAGTGAGTACACTCCATCTTCGAGGTCAATGTTACGCCCAGTAGACCTCACACGTCCCGCCTTTTTAAATGCCGCTAATACGTCATCATTCCTCAGAGAAGCTACTGAGATACCAAACCCTGCAACACCACTATGCACATCATAAAAGCTGTCGTTTCTGCACTGATTAGAATCGAGTGGTCCAGATGCTCTCTTCTCCTCGGCTACACACCAATTCCATCTCGCCCATACTGATTTAGTCACCCACTGGTACAAAAGTGGAGGACCAGTTAATCCAGTGATGACTTTTCCGGTGTGTGGAGGAACAAAGTCTACAATGGCCCCGTTACTACTGCCATTAATACACATAGCGATCCCGTTGCAACCAACAACGGTTACAAAATAACGTTGACCACTGCTCAGCAAAAGACCTGAGAAAGTTACTTCTGTTTGTGAGCCAACCGTTTTAAAATTCTGAATGTCGTCGAGTCCAGGGTCAGTTCCTAAAGCTACGGAGTACTCTACTATGCCACTTTCTGACTCTGCGAATGCTTGTTCCCAGTGTGCGCTAAAGGTTAATCTTTCGCTGGTGTAGTTCTTATCCTTCCCCTCTACGCCATCTTTTATATATTGTGAAGCGACAGTCGGCGGTGTATTGTCGATGATAATGCCATCAGAAGTAATAGTTTTCTTGAGGTTAGCTCCATTTATGATCTTTATGGTGGTATGGTATCTTACTCGAGGAAGAATACTGACATCGGAAAAACTCGCAAAAACCATACCGTCTTGGAAAACTTTGTGGGTAACAAAGGTGACATCTTCAAATGATCTCACGTCATCCCCTCCTGGATAAGTTCCAACACCCACCAGTTGTGTACGAATGCCACTTTCCTGGTCTAGGCATTTCCATTTCGCTTGAATGCCACTTAGTTTTCCAACAAAATCCACATCAAAAATATCTTCATCGTCCGTGACATCAATAGCTTTATTTGCACAGTGCGGTGGCGTATTATCTGGCACAAAACCATTTGAAGTAATAATTGTTTGAAGTCCGGCCGCATTGGTTCCACGGAGTACCAGCTTATAAGGAAAGCCAGCTTCAAGAGAAAGGCCATCCATTAAGGGTGTCTGTTGGGTGAATGCAATCTCTACAAAAGATGTAACATCTTCATTGGTGTTGTTTCTCGAAATTTTCCAATCATATCTCACCATAGGGCTCTCGAGATCTTTGAAAGGATCGAACTTACCACGGATGCGCCTCAGTGATGGGATAAACATCGCATCACTCTCACCAGCACCATCTTGGAAATGTCCAGGCAAAGGTGGTGTTCTGTCAATTACGATACCATTGCTGCACATAACCACCTTTAAGCCAATAGAGTCCATGGCATATATTCGAGTAAAATATTTTCTTCCGTGATGTAAATCTAGGTTGGAAGTCTGGATTGTAGTTGAATCGCCGAGAGGAGTCAAGGGAAAGACATCTGCTTCAGCTTCATTTAAGGTACAGCTGGAAGAAGACGATACTCCCCATCTCAAGTAGGCAATGTCGTCAATGTCGCTCTTGATCGCAAAATTCATACCTAGAGCGAATGAATCTGACTGATAATCCAAGTCTTGATGTTCATTGACACCATCGTAGACATAACGAATCTGAGGACCCTTACGACGAGCTGTAAATTTTGGGCAGTTAACTAACTTACTATCACGACCCATGTCATTTGTTGCCAGTAGGCTGACATACACATCTCGTCCATGCATTATTGGAAGATCGTCGACAACTACGCTTAACGATGTTCCCACCCACGCGGAGTAGTCGTCGCCAGAACCCTGAATGGATCCTATTCTAACATGGTAGTTTTTTATTTCAGTATCTTCGTGGAATCCATGCCACTGGACAAAATATTTTTTGTCGGCAGCTTGCCTTGCAGTACATGTCCCAGCAATAGGAGGTGTTTTGTCTATGTCTTGCCGGCAATTTGTAAAGAGCGTCCTGTCGATCGTTTTGGCTGACCACCACCACTCCCAGATAGTGTTTCTCCCACACCATCCATCATTTACACGACAGCCAATTAACCAACATTTCACTCGAAAGCAGAGACGGAGTCTATACCAAAGCGAAACTCTAATGCGTAGAGGTGTCATTCGCATCTTTAATTCCATGCACGCTTTCAGTGGCCACTTGTCAATCCTGATTGACAGATCTGGTATAAGATAAGTCTCCAAAATCCTTGCCTCAATTGTAATTCCAGCTTCTACCACAAAGGCTGATAAAGCGGCACCAGCGTATACAGAGACCCAAGCTCCGGGAATGAGACCAAGTCGAAAAACCTTGTCCTTAAAACAGACTTGTCCTTGATAGTCCACGCTATAATAACCACCAGCACCAGCAAACAGTCGTACCGGTATACCAAACACAATGATGGTTTGGGAATATTCAGGGAGGAATTGCTGATATCCCCTCAGAGCGTTCCCACGAAACAAAATCGAACACGATCCAGGATCTGAGGCTTGCCTACGAATCCTTCTGTTTCTCAAGTGAATTTCTTCTAGTTTCTCAGAATAAACATCAGATTCTAACAACTCTTGCGAAGTGCTCCGTTTTCGTGTAGTTCCGCAAACCATATCTCCGATAGGAATCAATTTCCTGGGTCGTATGATGTAATCTTTCATGACTGAGAAAAATAGGCAGTTTTCATGGATTCCAAAAGTCGTCTTTAAAATTGGTAGCCTAAGGTAAAAGTATCGTTCTTCAAAGTCACCACCTATTAGCTCCACATTTTCTTTCTCAGCGTAGGTACCGCTTGAGAACGCCACTGCAATTACCTCTTTGTCTACACTGGTGACCGACTGTAAGCCCGAAGGGGTTCTAATGACTCTAGAGGGTTTCTTTTTCCCGATCTCATCACCACCACTGATGTCATGGAATTCAAGCTTGCATTGAAACCCAGAAATCATCGCACATTTAGAGATACAGACATATTCGGTACTGAACTGTCTGACGATAGCCATGCCCTGTGCGTTGGCCCCAATGACGATTACCCTGTCGGGTGTTAAGCCAGGAGAAAACAGATCCCCATCACTAAGCAGCTTATAGCCATAAGCCTTTTCACCCTTGCTGTCTGTTACCCACAAGACATTGGTCAGTTCGTCATGGGACACAGACGTTGCTGTGCCTTCAACCGAAAGAGTTTTTGCCACTTCAATCCAAGATGGCTTTTTTGACGAGAAGGATCTTGTCACACTAGATTTTTTTACTTGATGGATTTTTTTTGAGGTCCTATCACTAATCCAGATGTAATCTCGGGAAACGGCTACTCCCCCTATTTTCACAGCTAGAGGATTACCTTTATTTCTGAGTTGAATGATCTTTTTTACTCCCCTACCGAAACCTGTTACCACCAAAAGCGATGCTTTCCCTTTGTTACTTGAGACTCCGTGCATACCCAACATAACCTCGCTATTGGAAAGCCTTGAAATACCCTCTACTTTATAGTCATCAAACAGACCGGGCGTAAGCCATCGCCCACTCTTTTCCATGGAAGAAAGATCATCCAGGTGCGGGAACTTCCAAGTGAAAATGGTCTCCAAATAAAGTGAAGACGATCGTTTAATTGATCGAACACAGACTTCCTCTGAGCAATATGGTATTTGATTCCACGGTTTATAGGCCCTTAGGTCCAGTCCTCTCTGTCTCAGCTGAAGCTTGTTCAGAAAATCGGTAACTTTGTCCAAAAAGCTGTTGACCACTGTTACGGTATTAGTGAATTTAGGGGCATACTTGTCAAGATAGGGTTTGACGACATTATCAAGTTCTTCAGTTTCAGATAAGAGGTAGATGATTGGGCCAGAAATTAAATTTTTTACGCCTTCTGAGTTCTCAGCATATTGCATGGCACCTTGGGTAGCAGTATCTAATGCTTGAAGGACGTTGTTGGCGTTGTTTGTCTTTTTCCAGAACTCGTATGATAGTTGCAGTTTGGATCGCACATCTCTAACCGCTTTAATGTGTTCTAGAACAGCATCATCGTAGACATTTCGCATCGCTTGGAATGCGTTTTTAAGAAATTCTTCCAGTTTCCTCTGAACTGCCTTGGTCATCTGTACATAGTCAACAATTCTTTCGATTCGCTCCTTTACGTATGTTATAGACCGCCTATGAACGACACTTTCCCCGTTACCTTCAGGGTTTCGGCCGGTGAGCTTTAGGAGAATCGACTTTACTCTTTGTAAGTCGTCTTTCACAGAGAGATTTTGAACTTGCTCCACCAGTAGCTGCACTGTGTCTATAACAGCTGTAATGTTATCAACCCCTCTCTTGCAAGTCTCCAGTGTGTCAGAGTATCCGCTCGCTTTTTTGAATTTATCCTTAAGCACATCCACCTTATCTTTAATGGTTTTAGCTTGATCGATAAAAGCTTTGGAAATGCAAGCTCCACCCTTGATACACTTCTGTATTTTGAAGTTCTTCCATGTAGCCGGAACCATGTCATATAGAACTTTCACTTCTTTTTTTAAGTCGTTATACTGATAGATGACGTATCGACCAACCTCAAAGGCTTTGTGGACGCAAGCTTCAGTACTCTCTACGAGTATTTTCTTGATCTTCTTGCATTCGGGTAATTTTCCTACCGTCTCAAGAATAGGCAAAAAACTGTTGGTGAAGGGCTTAAACTCTATCAGGATACCCATCACTTCACGCACCATGGCCTTGATATTTCTCAACTCTTCTTGCATCTCATTAATAGGTTCCTTAATTCTGCTGAACTTTGACACAGCTTTACGGACGAGCTTATCGACCTCTTTTTTGAAAAACGTCTCAACTTCTTTGACAATGTCATAGTTTCCAAACTTGTCGAGCGTCTCTGCAGTGATGGTCTTAAACTCGTTACAGACATCTTGTATTCGCTGATCAAAGGCAAGTCCAAACTGTTTTCTGATATCAAGCTTCTGGATCTCTTTTTTGTAGTTTTGAGCTCTGTCCGCAAAGTTAAGTACATCATCCACTGTTTTCCTTGCTTTATTTGCGTACTCTGGAAGATTTTGGAGACGCCTTAGGGCCTCGTTGATTTGAACAGCTATTTCACGAACGGATTTGAGAAACCCCTTCTTTGAATTTAGAACTGAAAGAAAATCTGACACTATCTGAGCAACGCGAGAAATCTTCCCGACACGAGCTGCCATGTTCTCTTCATACCACTTCTCCACGTTAGAAACAGCGTATTTCAAGTCTCTTCCAACCGTTTTTATCTTAGTCGCTACTGGCCCAGTGAACGATCCCAGCTCTAGGAGTGCTTCACGAGCGTTCTCTTGAACTTTGTCTATTACGTCAGCGGAGAAAATTGCAGCTTTGGTGCACGCGCCATTGACTTTTGAGGCTGTCCCGTTGGCGAAGTCCACTAAATCATCTTTAAGATTTTGAATATATTTTAGTTTTGTAGTAAGGCCTTGAAGCGATTCTGTAACGAATTCTTTGGCAGCCGTGGTAACGTTACGCTGGATTTGGTCTGTTAACGAATCCAATAGCACTGTAAAGTTTAGTAGTTCTGTGAATGCATTTTTGGTTGTATTCTCCACCGCTTGAAGCAATTTCATTCCCTCCATCTCAACACTAACTCCAAACTCCTTAAATTCTCGGGATGAATTAAACGCCACTTTAGAAACTTCACAAATATGCTTAACGTTTTTGTCGGCGAAATCTGTTATCCCCAGTCCAAGTTCGTGGAAGAAATCCGTGATATCGCCTATCGCTAAGACATTCCCAGATTGGAAATCAAGCATTCTGACTAGTTTCTCCAAGAATTCTTGTAAAACATCAGACGGATTTTCAGAATTTGAGTCGGCACTTCCGTCGAAAAGGTCTTTGTAAAAAGCTCCCAGATCAAAGATCTTGCCAGGCAATATTTCTTCAAAAAACGTTCCCAGATCAAAACCTGGGAGTGTAAACTGCTCCAGAAAGTCACCAAGTTTCTGAAGAATAGAAATGAATTTCTGAAAGCTTGGTGATTTCAGATTGAGGTTAAACTTTAGGCTGATCCGCCAGTTGAAAGGTAGACCAAAGTTGAAACCGCTTTCTTTAAAAGAGGGAAATCGTTGGTTCATGTCTGGTAAGTGCAGTCTGGGGAATCTAATGCTTCGGAGAATATCAAGCAAAGATGATACGTCCAGAAAATGGTTCGCAAATCTTAGAAGTTTCATAGGTACTTGCTGAAATGTTTCCAGAGAAAACAAGAGGCGGATGGAGAACTTGAATGGAAACTGTAAACGGAATCCGTCGGGAACGGAAAACCCTAGAGAATTGAAATATTCTTTCATTTTGTCAAAATGCAGGTCGCCAGAGACCGAGCGAAGAATGTACAGAAGTTTCATAATGTTAAATTCTACGGGTAGATTATGGGGCAAATACTTAGTTATGCTACCCACAATGTCAAGAATCTTGTCTAGAGCCGCAATGACGTTTTTGAAAACGTCATCCACTCCTGTCAGTCTTCGGCGACTATACTGAATTTTCTTTATCATCTCTGTCAGCCATTTCCAGTCCTTGAGGCGCGATGATACATCTTTGGAAAGGTTTATGACTTTTCCGATGAGATTAATTGATTTTAAAGGCTGCACTAAGTTCTGCAGGAATTGAACGAGCTTTTTGATGAAATCTAGGAATTTGTCAATATTCAAAGGTAGATATCCTTTTAGCTTCCTGATAACTTGGTTTATCTGTTCAGCAATTACGCTCGTAATACTATCAAACTTCCTAAGGAGATTGTCGCCAACATCAGCAATAGTGTGGATGAGGTCTTTCGGGAAATCATTCTTAAAACTAGCAGAAGCCTTGAAAACAGCTTTACCTCTGACGACTTCAAATCCAAACTTGAGAATATGACCTTGAATATAGGCCTGGTTGTCAAGATCAATCTCAAACTTCCCACCAAAAATTCCAATTCTTAGCTTTACTTGATTAATGAACTGTATGACCGATTCGGCTCCCACCCAACTACCACCGTAAGTCTTCTGCCATCGCTGAGACGGACCAAGAGCAAACTCTCTTGGGCGAAGAAATGAGAATAGAGCACGTTTCTCGCGATGAATAGCATCTCGCCTTTTCCTTAAGTAGACTGCTTTGGGGTGATCCCCGTGGTTTTCGATCAGTTGAATAATCGAAGAATCCAGAGTCTCACTTTCTTTGGCGTGCCATAAAGCACGTTCCAAGCCCTGTACCACTGAATCACTTAAATTCTGGTGACGCTCAACCAAAATATCAACAACTGCAGCTTTTACGTCGGGGTGTTCATCTACGTATAGCGCTTGCATCAAGTGTTGATTCGTGTGCTCGGGAAGAAGCTTGCGCATTGCTGAGATCACCGCTGATCGAATACCAGAATTATCGTGGTCAATATGTTTCAAGATGACGGGAAGTCCGGAATGATGACCGAGATTTCCAAAGGCCCAGATGTGGTCTCTTAGCTGCATTTCGTGGTCCAAGCTGTCGGGATGATACAGTGTTGATCTGTTTTTGTACCTACTGTGGATCATCTCGGCGACGCTATCACATAAGCTCTCGTTATATCCCGATCTCCTTGCCCTTTCAGCTAGGCCGGCTAGGACAAGCATCGCTGTAGATGTAACTTCGTCTCCTTTCTCCTCTCGTGATACAAGATTAAACAAGGCATCGAAAAGTTGTGAGTGAAGTGGACCTTCTGGCAGGTAGAATATTCCGATAAGAAATGTTTTGTACTCTTCTTTGCTAAGGGTTCGAGGGTAATCTCCCTTAACCGCTTCCGCTAAAGTGTTTTGGGCGTCATAGTTTCCACTTCCGGCAAGTGCTGCTATGTATATTGTCCAGGACGTGATGTTTTGGTGACTTCGATTCCGAACAAGTCTTTTGAGTTTTCGGAAAGTTTCTCCGTCCTCGCGAACCATACGATGCATCTCATTAGAGCAATCAGCAATTTGACGCTCCTTCATGCTTTTGTCGGTGAAACAGCGCAACACTTCATAGAAAGATCTTGGCGTTTTCTTCTCTCGGCCGATCTTGGACCATTTTATCTTTTCAGTATCTGTAAACAAAATATTGTCTTTGTTGAGAGTACCAGCTATCTTCAGATGCTGTTCCTCTGATGCCAAGCGTTTGGAACGGTGGTGCTCAGGCCCTTGACAAGATCTCAATGTTAGTCTGCTGTATCCCTTTGTGGACATTTCAATGTCCTGCTCTTGGCCTTTAAAACCTTCGAAATTGTCTGCTCTAGGATGACCATTGGTGGGTCTAAAAAATGCTCTATTAGTACGGTGAACTCTTTCTACCTTTCCTTCTTTCAAATGAATATACGCGTTGTGTTGAGACTGCACCTTGTGTTCTGCGCTGGCCGGGGTACCGTCCGCAAATGTTTGATAATCTTGGTTCGTCCAGGAGCGATGAAGATGAGCGTGTGTCTCGTTGGCTGAAATGACACTGTACTTTGTTCGAAAGATTCCAGAATCATCGTTTTCTAGCACTTCGTAAAAGTTGGATCTATGTACTTCTTTGAGATTAAGCTGAAATCCGCCTGCAATACCTGTGGTCAAACAATGGCTGAGTGGAGAAGAATCGCAAGTTACTTGGCTGAGTGTTACCCTTCCCTTCTTGTTGAACTTAGTTTGTGTGCAGCCTGAGCTTGAGCTAACTCATAAAAACATACACTATCCCGCTCATGACTAATGTATGATAAACAGTTGAACAATCTTCCTTGCCAAAATAGTCTCCAAATTTAGGACAAATCTGTGCAATTTGAGTAAACGGTTTTCCTTTTGTTTCTTGTTTCTTTTAAATTTCACTTTCAGACAGATAGGATAAGGTGGCAAACGAATCTCTTTGAACCATTTACTTGCGAATGTGACTGACAAATGGTTTATCATTATCGATATCTTGAGGGCTTTCTCTGCAATCAATGAAATTATTACGAACTGCAAGTACGATTGTAGTTGTCTTGTTGAACGTTATGTCTGAAACGCTAACACTGTTGCAGAATCTGGGAATACACTTTCTCTCGCCCATACCTACCTTTCTTGAAGGCTGCAATTTCGGGCGACTCAGACCTCTTTGCAAAAAGGATGTCAGTAATGGTGCCATGATCTTCCTGCTGAAAGTAAAATGGCTTTGACAGCTGCTCCTCAAATTCCTCGTTGACAGGGTGGTTGACAAGAATACGCCCTTGATGTACACGCCTTAAGCGAGGTTCCCGCACGTCAAGCTTAATAAGATACGAGTGTTGTCTCCCGTTGAAGTCACATGATACTGGTGTTAAGTCGACCTAAAGAAAAATATTGCTTCATGTGAAGAGCCACTAATTAAAAGTAAACTAAAGGAGATTGACTTATTATTTCAGAGAAGGAGAAAAGATTGATGAAATCTCCCATTAGAGTTCAGCCTTCACCTTCTAATCATAATAGCTGATGCAGCTATCATTTCTTGCTGACTATTCTCTCCATAGCCTGTCTATATTCAGATAGCATGAGTAAGTGGGGAGCAAAGTTTGGTGATCAAAGTTTGTAACCTTTTCCAGCGCATTTATGAAAGAAAACTTGCTAGAAGATAATTTTTCTACAAATAACTAATTTCCTCGTGAAATAATATACTTCTGAAAACTTCGCCCTAGAAAAACCTCGTTCTTTAATTAACTGGCTACCTGCCTGCGGCGAAGCCAATTTTGGTACATATTTCATCTACATTCATGCTGAAAATATTTCATAGAAAAACTTCAAGAAAACTCTTGCTAGTATACATGCAGCTTTAATTCCAGTATACGACGTTACAATTTCTTGCACTTTCAAACTATTTGTTGCATGCATGGTTGCATGGTGACACCAAAATCAAAGAGAGCCTCGCTTGCTTCGAAAATCACGCCGCACGTGTATGTTGACTCACAATCAACAAACAATTGTGTGCACGTGTGCGTATGTTGACACACAATCTTTTAATAGTATACGCCTTAAATAAGTATTAGAAAGAGCCAAGTTAGAATAAAGACTAGACCGCTAAATAAAACTCATGAGCTATATGATCAAAACTTTTCACCACAACTTTTAAACATTTAAATCACTTTATGGCCATAAAAACTCTTTTTTATGGAATAGACTTGCGAGAGTTGATGGAAGTTTTGTAAGATTAGTCGATTTTCAAAAGCATGGGATACAAAGCAGGCTTTAAGGTCTTTTAGTACAATACGTCATTGAGTAATTTGGTAATATTTCTGGCCAATTACTGCAGTGCATGTTTAGAGAAAGATAGAAATTCGCTAAAAACAGATTTCGTCTCAATTGCTTTGGGTGAGTTCCATGGATTTCACGCGAGAGTGCGTATCCGCAATCCGCGGCAAGCTAAACTTGCATGTTTCGCGCTTTTTTTTCCGCAATTTGTTCTCAAATTTAAATTGCATTTACAAAGAGAATTTGTACTCAAATATTTGATCCCTTTAGTTATAAGTTAGCTTTTATCCCTCTGGCACCTGTTTCGATGTTTAAAGTTCTATGTTAATTGTAACAGGTCAGGCATCTTTTGGCACGTCTGAAGTGTGCTTACAGTTCCTGCGTTTGAGATCATTCTAATATGAGCTTGCTAGAGATCGAAATTACAAAACTTCGATCAGTAAAAGAAGAGTTATTCTATTCCGAAACCTCTAAATTCATATTCAATATGAGATTGATGATCGAATGGCTTATCAAACAACTGTGCGCGCAAGTATTTTTGGTCAACCAATTTTAAACTTTCCTTGTTTGCATTTACGCTTGCATGCTGTTTTTCAATGTTCATCGGGTAAAAAGTTCATAAAATTCATAAGCGAGATGAAAGACAAAACTCAGTTTTTGAAATTACTTTTCTTGGCAGAACGCCCATAGTTTAGTTTACATTCTGAAAGCCATTCGCAAAGGACTGACAAATGCGTGTATCTTAGTGCCAACTGATTTTCAATTGCGTAGGAAAACGAAAATCAAATTTCATTTTCGTTTTTCGTTTTTTGTTTTCCGCTTTTCGCTGCGCTGTAAAAAAACCATATTGGACTTCAATTTTGGTTTTTTTGTTTTTCGTTTTCGTATGGAATTTGGAAACGGATTGCTAGTCAAGTCAATTGAAGTGACTATCTTTAAAATAAGCCGGGTTAGGGGAATTGGGGAATGGGGAATGGGAAATCTTTAAAATGAGAAATCTTTAAAAGCGGGAATATTTAAAATGGGGAATCTTTAAAAGCGGGAATCTTTAAAATATGAAATCTTTAAAAGCAGGAATCTTTACACTTCCCGGCGATTTTCCATCAAAGAACTAGAATTTTATAGAAAATAATATGTAGATTTAGCCAAGCCTAAGAGCGAAGCTCCCAAGTTCGTAATATTAATAATGATAACATAAAAGATGTGCATTTGCCAAGACTCGTCTGAGACACCCCTCCCTTCGATTTGATAGTCTTCCCTACCCTACCCGTGCAATCTTAAGGCACGTACGCTCGGTCAGTCACGTAACAACCAAACGAAAAGAGGTTGACCATCTTCCATGGGTATGGGGCTCTGCCCCCCGCGCGCTTTGCGCGTGTGGGAGCCCTGCTATTATGCTCATTGATGGTCCAACTGCAGTAAAAATCGCTGTCATGTTACGGTGAAGATTTTATATCGGCAATAAAGCAGCCAACACATGTTTTAAAAGCTGTTTGGAAACGTAGACTAGTATAAAGTTTCGAAATTTGAAGCGTGCTACAGGGTGTATTTTTGTTTACAGTATTCCGCTTCCTTATTGGTTCAAACATGCAGGTTTGGGTACACACCGTGACATTATCGTATTTTTGTTTTTTTTAAGTACGTACTACCTTTAATCAAGATTTATTTTCCGCCAAAGTATCGTACTGCCGGTCATTTAGGGATTTAAAAACCGTGGCCGGCAGTCGACCTAGAAAAAAGACTATCACAAACCATGGTTTCGCGTAAACCAAGCGATAGACTTGCGATCTTGAAAGCTTTCCTGGATCGCTCGGCAGTTCTTAATCGACACCTGATAGTTCGAATTGGATAGGTTTCTTTGATACCTTAAATTTGAGCAAAAAATCAGACTGCCGGACATTTAGTGATTTGAAAACCGTGACCGGCAGTCGACCTAAAAAAAATCTAAGTGCCACAAACAACGATTTCTCATTCTGAGCCCATGGAGGGTAAACCAAGCCATAGACTTGCGATCTATAAAGCTTTCCTGGATAGTTTGGCAGTTCATAATCGACATATGATAGTTTGAACTGGATGTGTTTCTTTGATTTCTTAAATTTGAACAAAATATCAGTGATTTGAAAAGCTTGACCGGCAGTCGACCCTAATAAAAAGTCTAAGTGTCACAGCGTAAACCAAGCGATAGACTTTCGATCTTAAAAGCTTTCCTGGATCGCTTGGCAGTTCTTAATCGACATATGATAGTTTGAACTTGATGGGTTTATTCGATTCCTTCAATTTGAACAAAATATCAGACTGCTGGTCATTTAGTGATTTGAAAACCTTGACCGGCTGCAGGTCATTTAGTCACAACGTTTTAAATTTCAGGTAACCTGAGCAGCAGGAACGACAAAAGTTGATGAAAATTAGCTTTTTATTCATATTAGTAGCGATTTTTCGCCCCCAAAACGGGCTCATGTTTTTTCCACGTGCGCAATTGGTCATTTTCACCTCCCATTGCGTGACAATGAATGGCTTGTTTTTATGAGGGGTGATAATCGCCAAAATTGAG